GAGTATTTCCTCTTTGGTCAAAAAGTCCCTCATGCACAGGACAATATCCCTAGGTGGCTTGTCAGTAGGAGGTTTAGGGCGCAGGGCTCTATGGATGCGGTCACAGGCAAAAGATCCAGGGTCACGATCCGGGAGGAGTGATTGAAATAATTTGGTCACGATTAAGGAGAGGTCAGACATAGACTCCGGGATTCCCCTGATTCGCAGATTATTCCTGCGATTGCGATTATCAAGGTCCTCCACCTGCGCCTGTAGTTGAAAAAAGGCCGTTTGTAAATGATCATGCTCTCTGGAAAGTTCACCATAGGCCAGGCTAAGTTCATCGTGTTTGGTTTCTAAGCGGTCTGTCCTGGAGTCCAATGTGGCTATTTCCTGAGAGAGAACATTAGTGCTTTTATGCAATTCTGATTGAAATTTGGCGGCTAGTTTGGCGTACATAGATTCCAAGCAGGACTCCAAGTCTCCTTTTGTAAGTTGCTGTGTATTTTCACTGACCAAGGCCGATAAGGGAGCGGTGGTATCCTGTGTGGGATCGGACAGGGATGCTCGCTCTGTATTGACTGGAGACATGTTACAAAGCTCGTGTGCCTTAAGTAGGTATGTTGTGAGGGACTTCTGGGCTTGTCCTTTTTTTTCTTTGTGGACGGCATACAGGGAGTCTCCTGGGGGTGATCAACTGAAAATAGGATAATGAATGGAGATTATAACCCCAGGGGACCTATAACGCCCAAAATAGGTTTAGGGTTGTAGTGACATGAATGCGGTTAGATTCATCTGCGAGAACATTATATTGTAAAGATAATTAGCAAGTCATGGAAGGGTAGAGAGGACATAGATCACAGTAACACGCAGATATAGCACACGGAGCAGGATGATGGCACCAGATCCCAATCTAGGACACAAGAGGGACAAGTGGGAAGCAGAGGACCTCCAACACCAAGCACAGGGCCCTCCAGGGAGACACTCCACGGGGCAATATTAAGGCCCCAGTAGGCCTCTGAGCCCACAGGGGCTGTGGTTACAGGAGATGGCAGGCTCCGGGGTCAGCAACGTGAGGCCCACTCCCAGGTCACTGCGGGGGGGAGCTAATAATAAGAGGGCACCCGCATCCCCCACTCACTGTGACCAGATGGAGGCTCCAGACCGGTGATGTAGGCCGCCGCCACCGCGGGGAAGCAGCAAGGCTCAGCGGCGTCTCTCCCCCAGTCCCAGCAATGCAGAGGGCGCCGCGGATGTTCCCAGGCGATCTCCCACAGCCCGGATGGCAGCAGGTGCGGATGGGAGAGCCGATGGGTGGCGCCGGACCCCCGGCCGCGCGCGGCCGCACCAGGCCGCGGACGTCAGCCGCCACGAGGGGCGGAAATATCACCCGGGTTCCGACTCCCCGGGATCAGGGATACTACCCGGGTCCTCCGCCGGCACTCCGTGATCCGCTGCCGCACGGATGGCAGCGGACTTAAAAGCTCCGCACGGATGGCAGCAGGTGCGGATGGGAGAGCTGATGGGTGGCGCCGGAGCTCCGGCCCGCGCGGCCGCGGCCCGCACCAGGGCCGCGGATGTCAGCCGCCACGAGGGCGCGGAAATATCACCTGGGTTCCAACTCCCCGGGATCAGGGATACTACCCGGGTCCTCCGCCGGCACTCCGTGATCCGCTGCCGCACGGATGGCAGCGGATTTAAAAAAGCTCGGCACCGGAGCTCCGGATTATGCGGCCGCTCCGGTCGCCATCTTGGACACGCCCCCCGTGAGTGCTAATTTTTGTATTAGTTGCTGGCAGTGTCTCTTCCTTTCAAGGCAATGAAGGGGCTTACAGAATAACAAGATATGGCTGCCCAAACAATGCTTTACCATTGGCAGAAGACAGTCATGGTCGTAAGATTGGGAAGGTGTTTACCACGCATAAACAAATCCGTTGGTTGGGAACAGTGTGAAGTGCAATTTATCAGACCATATCACAGTCTTCCATTGAACAATAGTAGTGCACGATTTATGGGTGCTGCACCACACTCTCCACTTCTGAGCATTTAATATCAGTCAATAGTGGTTTGGCAATTGCAGCCCACCCATGAATGTATTGCTTATGTTCCCTTTGCACAGTTGTTGTGGGCAATGGGCTTTGGAAGACTGAGATTGAGCTCTGCAGTCACTTTTGCAGCAGTTGTTTTCTTATTCCCTGTCACAATCCTCCGCAATGTCCTTTTGTCTCTTTCAGTCAGTTGACCATGTCCACCGCGCTTATGCTTCTCAGGACAACGTTCTCCCAGAAACTGTATATGCCATCATAACCTTTGATATTGTACCTCGTGATATCATAAATAAAATTGACAACTTCAGTCACAGAGGCACCAGCTAAGTGGGCACCAACAATTTGCCCCCTTTTAAACTCAGTAGGCTCTGACATGACTGTATTACTAGCAGTGCACTATATATATATATATATATATATATATATATATATATACACACACTTACCGGCCACTTTATTAGGTACACCTGTTCAATTGCTTGGTGAAACAAATTGCTAATCAGCCAATCACATGGCAGCAACACAATGCATTTAGGTATCTAGATGTGGTGAAGACGACTTGCTGAAATTCAAACCAAACATCAGAATGGTAAAGAAAAGGGGGCTTCAAGTGATTTTGAATGTGGCATGGTTGTTGATGCCAAACAGGCTGGTCTGAGTATTTCAAAAACTGATGATCTACTGGGATGTTCATGCACAACCATCTCTAGGGTTTACAGAGAATGGTCAGAAAAATAGAAAATGTCCAGTGAGGGGCAGTTGTGTGGACGAAAATTCCTTGTTGATGTCAGAGGAGAATGGTCAGACTGGTTCAAAATGACAGAGAGGCATGCTGTCATATTACAAAATCTCTGAGGAATGTTATATATATATATATATATATATATATATATATATATATATTAGGTACTGCATTTGAATAGATATAGAAAAAGCCTTTTCATATATGGAGATTAAATCCTTTTCATCTTGCTGTAAAGAGTGCCCCATTGTCCTCTGTAATGTCCTAAAAGTGAATACATGGTGATCATGTCTTCCTTCGCTTGTCAAGAGAGAACAAATTCAGTTCCTCTAAATCTTTCCTCATAGCTGTGTTCCTCCATGCCTCTTATCAGTTTGGTTGCCCTTCTCTGCTCTTTCTCAAGCTTTGAAGATGGGTACTTCTGTTGTGTATACTATCATATGCATTTCAGGTGAATTTACATTAGTACTGATTTTCTCCAACCTGGCGTTCTCTTCATGTTGTTTATTAATCATGTTTTGTAACATGAGATCATTCTTTTTGGATCCCCAGGGCTACTCCTGAAGGCCTAATTGTGACCTGCGATAGAAGCAAAATAATATCTATACACAAACAAGCGAGGTGTCTAAACACCAAGCGAGCATCACTTCAATATTTTGATTATGACCTTGTCCTTGGTGATACTACACAGTATTTGCTGCAATGTCTCTTTCATGTCTTTGAGCGATCGTACATCCAAAACTGTCTACAGCAAAGTGTACATGACATTGCTGCCATCATTCTTTGTGGGCCCCCAATAGCAACAAGATGGCTAGTTATTTACTCTAGTTGGTCTTCTTTCTTGCTTCACCAAATTATTGTCTGTGATTTCTCAAGTACAAAATTTAAGGAGATGACCTTGTTTATGCCATAGTTCTCCTACTAACAAATGTGATCGTTTCCTTGAAGAGCATCAGAAAGAAGTATAGATTTATTTACATTTACAACTTTACAGAAGCCCATGTTACAGCTTTCAGCAGCCAACAAAACAGGTAAGTATTTTAATGCCAGTAATTTTTTAAGTAAAATGTATTTAGGACATTTCTTTTTTTTCAGTGTTCTGATTTGTTGAACCACACAAAGGACATAAAGAGACGATAACTTCCTGTTTTTTCCTTACAGCATAGTGATAAACTCATGTCTCTGTAGTGCTGATTTCTCCATCTATCACATGAACTGACGGGTTCATTGAGAGACTGCAAGTGGTTGATACCATGTTAAGTAAATGTACCTACACTTCTTGTATTTGAATAATAAATGTAATCATTTGTTAATGATTACAAAATTGAATAATTTGTGTCTTTTTATATCCACCTAGAGTTTGGCTTTAACACTTGGTAGCTTCTTCGTGTGATGTCCATGTCCATTGTGCTGAATTGTTTTAAATTTTTTGACTTCCTTTGCCATTTTGAGAGAAAGTCCCTCCTCCCCTCCTACAGATGAGAGAAAAAAAGTCATACTTCTGAGATGTATGATATCATTTTGGCCTAGGCAAGAAACCAGGAAGAAATGTAAAAAAAAAAAGTTTAAGAGAAGTAAATATGATATACCTTCCTATCTATTTACTAATGCTAACAGCATAAGGATTAAAAGAGCTTATGCCTGTACTGATTTCCATGATTGGCACAAGCAAACATCAACCATTTCTAGTCCTCGTGCTATGATATATTGATTCCCTTTTGTGTGTGATGAAAACAACATGAAATGATAATATCATTATAGTCACAGACATCGTATGGCTCCCATTTATCTCCCACAAACGTCCTGAAGCTGTGGCAGTTATTGTAGATCTTTAACTATAAGGATACCAGCAATGTAAGAAAGGCCATAATACTGAAGATTTGGGCCTCCTGCACCCAAACCAGATTTTCTAATCTAAGCTATAGCCTTTTTCTTGACTCCTGGCCCCAGTGGTTCTGCAACTAATGATAGGATACTTAATGAAATGAACAGTGTATGTCAGTTTTTACAGAGGTGTAGTCAGACTGTATAGCTGAGAATGGAATAAAGTAGAAAAAATTGTTTGGTAAAACAATTCAATTCAATATACAAATTGTTTGTTTGTTTTTTTTGCTGCATATGCAGTCACAGTTATATTACTGAAATGTTCTGATTTTCTCATGCTAGGTATTCTAGGTTTTCAAATGTTTTTTTTTTTAATTGTTAAGGTTCACTATAAGAAAATGGAGTACATGAACCAAACATTTCCGCATGAATTTATCCTCATTGGTCTATCCACCAATCCATGCTTTCAGCCACTGTTTTTTACTATCTTCATATTGATCTACACAGTGACAATCCTGGGAAATGTTCTGGTTATTATGATTGTAAGGATTAACATTCAGCTGCAGACTCCTATGTACTTTTTTCTTAGTAACCTCTCGTTTATTGACTTGTGCTTCTCCACTACTGTTGTGCCGAAGCTACTAATAAACACTTTGTCCGATGACACGAGCATTTCTTTCTTGGGTTGTGCAGCCCAGATGTATTTCCACCTGGCTCTGGGGGGAACAGAATGCATAATATTATCAGTCATGGCCTATGATCGGTATATAGCCATTTGCAACCCTTTATGCTATAACACCATCATGAATATGAGGCTCTGTGTAATATTGTCAGCCGTAACATGGATTTTTAACTTCCTTCATTCTATATTCCATGCAGCCATCACCTTTCAACTTCCTTTTTGTAGGTCCACCCATGTCAATCACTACTTTTGCGAGATGCCTCCACTCTTCAAGCTTTCTTGTAAGGACACTTTGTGGAATGAAATAGCTCTATACTTCTCAGGGGCAACTGTAGGCTTTTGTGCATTTGCGTTGACTCTACTATCCTATGTACAAATTATTTCTACCATCTTGAAGATGAGTTCCACCAAAGGGCGTAGAAAGGTCTTTTCTACATGTACCTCCCATCTTTGTGTTGTTTCACTATACTATGGTACCATTGTCTTTATATATTTAAGGCCTCGAGGAAGTTATTCTGTAAATCGAGACAGAATAGTATCTATTCTCTACACGGTGGTGACACCTATGTTTAATCCCATCATTTATAGTATAAGGAACAATGAAGTGAAAGGAACTTTAAAGAAGATACTGTTCAGGACTCAATTGCAATCCAGTGTCCATTAATACAAGTTTATTTTAGGAAATGAACTGAACACAGACAGTGATTTATATTCTAAAGCTTGTTTTTTTGAGTTTTAAATATAACCATTTGAAAATATATAGAGCAACCAACATACCAATAGCAAATACAGGTTGGAACTTAGTCCAACTCCAGCAGACCTTTATTTTGGTTTCAGACAGAGGTGGGAAGGGTAAAAATGTCTGTAGGGTTTTAATTCCTAAAATCCAGCCTTCCTCTGGATCAACTGTGGATATAGGATTATAACTTTTTTTTTTCTATGGTTGAACTGGATGGACTTTTGTCTTTTTTCAGCTGGACTAACTGGGTAACTGTCTGTAATTGCTGTTTCTGTAGCCATTAGGGACATTTTCCCTAATTTTTGTCATTACAAAGATAGTAAATTATTTAAATCTATTTATTGGATGCACAAGCAGTAATAAAATATTTTTGCAAAGCACAGAAAGGAAGGGTAAGAACGTTTGTGACATTTGTATTGCTGTCTGTGTTCCCATTGGTGAGATACCTTCACTTTTTGTTTAGGCATCAAAGAAAAACACTATAATCAAAACCAAAAAATATATTTTGGTTTGTGTTGGGCTTTAAAGTTGACACATATTCAGTACATATATTAAAAATATGGCTTATCCTATCCAGGAGTCCTCTGTTGTTCTCCTGAAGAGTTGAAACATTGAGATGAAAATGGGTTAATCAGTCCACTGCTGTCCGACTAAAATAAGTAAAATAATAACAGTTCAGGAGCATCACATATAGTTGTAAGAAATGGACAAATGGAAGTGATTTTAAATGATGGAAATAGAGATAAAAATGAGTACATTATTGTGTGTTTTGGGACAAATTAGGGAGTATAAGAAAGGGAAAAGTGTAAAAACAGAGAATAAAACCAACAAAAAGAACAAGCAAGAGGTTCTAAGGTGCTACCAGATTTAAAATGTCAACTTTCAAGGAAGAGGAAACTCAATGCCTAGACTCTAGTATTCTATAGGTAGATGGATAAAGGTAATCCATGGTATCCAGTTTCTTAAAATGTTGTGTTCACCATTAAAGATAACCATTATTGCAGTGTTTAAGATCTTTAATCCCATCACTTATACACCTAGATAATCAGGGTTTGTTTCTTCTAGAGAGGCAAAGGACAATACATTAATTACATAGTTACATAGTTAGTTTGGCTGAAAAAAAAAACTAAAGTCCATCCAGTTCAACCATAAAAAAAAGTTATAATCCTATACCCACAGTTGATCAAGAGGAAGGCAAAAAAAACCCCAGCAATTTGCTCCTGCAGGGGAAAAAAACTCCATTCTGATCACCTGAGAGGCAATTGGATATTCCCTGGATCAACTTTACCTATAAATGTTAGTATTATTATATGTCAGTTATATTATGTGTGTCTAAGAAAGAATCCAGGCCTTTTTTAAAAGAATCCACTGAGCTGGCCAGAACCAACTCTTGAGAGGGTTTATTCCACATTTTCACAGCTCCAACTGTGAAGAAACCTTTCTGTATTTGGAGATTAAATCTTTTTGCTCCAGACGTAGAGTGCCCCCTTGTCTTCTGTGATGACCTCAGGGTGAATAACTCTACCGAGTTCACTATATGAACCACTGATGTATTCATACATGTTAATCCTATGTCCCCTTAATCTCCGTTTCTCAAGAGAGAATAAATCAGTTCCTCTAATCTTTCCTCATAGCTGATCTCCTTCATGCCTCTTATCAGTTTGGTTGCCCTTCTCTGTACTTTCTCCAATTTTCTGTCTATTTACATATGGATTTTTCCAAGCCCATAGACTTTATCGTACACATTAGCCGTGTGTGTGGGGAACTGTGTCAAACGCTTTTGCAAAATCCAAGTATACTACGTCCACTGCCAACCCTCTGTCCAAGGTTTTGCTCACCTCCTCATAAAAAGAAGTCAGATTTGTTTGACAACTTCTGTCTTTCATGAATCCATGCTGTCTATTGCTTAAAATATTTTTTTCCCAGCAAGAACTTATACATGCTCCGACCTGACCTTTAATAAATTCACTTTCTCTTTGTCACCTACTCTAGATTATTTTGTAAAAGGCCTACATGCTCAAACCAGAGCTTTTTACTATTAATATATTTGAAGAATTTTTTGGGGTTTGTCCTGCTATCTTTTGCAATCTGTCATGCATTTTAAATTTTTTTTTTTTTTACTTCTGTTATATTCTTTGCAATGTTTGCATTTTCAATTTGTCAATTTCTGAGTAGTTAAAATCCCCCCATTATTATCACTGTCTCAGCCCCTGCAGCCCTATCGATTTGTGCAAGGAGTGGATTCTCCACCTCCTCATTAACACTGGGAGTCCTATAACAAACTCCAATGATTACCTTTGTAGTACGGTCCCCCATGTGCAGTTCCACCCATAATGCTTCAGCCTCATCACACTCTCCATCAACAAGATCCTCTTTCACACTCGCTCTGAGATCACTTCTCACATAGAGACAGACAACACCACCTTTTTACCCTGTCTCTCCAAAAGAGAACAGAGCCACGAATATTAATGGCCCAGTCATGTGAAGAATGAAGCCAAAATTCAGCAATACCAATTAAATCATAGTTCTGTTCAGGCACCAAAGCTTCCAACTCACATATTTTGCTTGGCAGACTTTTTGCATTTGTGAAGAGATTTTAATTCAATGACACCTTTTGCACACGTGTTTTGCATATTTTTTTTTTTTCGTACAAATGGTACCAATTCTAATGGTTGTTTGTAACATGGGCACCTTCTTATCACCTGCCATAGCCCTCCCCCCATCTTTCACCATTCCGCCCACCAATAAGGACTGACACCTGTGTGATCTGTCTGCTCCATTATAATCTAATTCTCCCTCCCCCATCGATCCTAGTTTAAATACTCCTCCAGCAAAATACCCATTTTATTTATCTGAGGCCACAGTCATATGACCACCCTTCTCTCCCCTTCTGTTTACTTCCTGGGGTCCTTCTTTGAGTGTCCACATCACTGCCTGAGTAATGGTCACACCTCCTATAGGTGACACTTCCATTAGCACGGATCAACCCTCCAGAGGCAGAAGAACTCACCAGGGTGGTGAGGAGACCAGTGTCCAGGAGGAGCGGGGAAACACAGGGACCACAGGGTGGGAAATGCTCCTGGTTCACAGAGGACGCTGTGACTTGCTTCCGTTCTACTGCAGGATGGCTTAGGAAGAGATGTTCAGAATCAAAGCTGAGGAGGAAGGTAAGGCTTTTGCCTGGAGTTGGGCATTAGTTAAAGGCAGAGTTCACCTTTAGTGCCTGTTCACATAAATGCAGATTGGATGTGGTTTAAACCGCATCCAATCTGTATGACATGTAAAATAACATTGCTTCTTATGGTGCCTGTTCACATATGGCCGGCGCACGGCCGGTGTAGATTCAGTGCGGTTTTATAATGAGTCATGTCCGATTTCTGAGTAGTTTGGTCCGGTTCAGGTGTGAATTACAGGCTATTGACTTCTATGGGAACCGTTCCTGAACCGCAAATGTGTGAACAGGATATGATCCTGAATTGATCCTGCCTGAATCCTGACAGCACACATTTACACTGATGATCAGTGCAGCCCATTGAATGCAGCTTATTAGTGTCCTCAGCAGTGCCCATCAGTGCAGCCTCATCAGCGCACATAGGAGAAGAAGAAAAATTACTTTTTTGCAAAATATTAAAACATTTTTTTCAAAATATTCTGTAATTTTAATTTAAAAACCCAGGGGTCAATAAATACCACCAAAAGAAAGCTCTATTTGTCTCAAAAAATGATAAACATTTCATATGCGTACAGTTTTGCATGACTGCGCAATCGGCATTCAAAGTGTGACAGAGCTGAAATTGAAAAATTGGCCTGGTCAGGAAGGGGGTTCCCGGTATTGATGTGGTTAATTAATGTTATGTTTACTACTGAAAATACTTTAGACATATAGAAGAGCTGGGGGGGGGGGTTGTTGATCGGTAGGAGGGGTAAAATATTGTGCCCCGGGTGTCACATACACTTGGCAAGGTCAGATTTGGGTGAATCTTGGAGACTCTTTGAAAAAAACAGGACATTGAACATTTCTGTACAGTGCTGTACGTCAGTCTAAATCTTACATTGTAGCAAACTGGCTCCACTTTACATTCTGGACAGAATTATTTATGCAGAAGAAAGTCCTGTCCAAGGCTAGGTTCACACCTATGCAGGTTGTGTTTGACCCTTTTTTTGCTTTGTGTTGCGTTTTGCACCTGCATTTTTGCCGCTTTTTGATGCATTTTTTTTTCATTTTTTCTTGTTGCTAGGCAGATTCAAAACACAGCAAAAATGCACTGCATACTTTTCTGCAGCGTTTCCATTTTTGCACTTAAAAATGTCCCTGACCCTTTCCAACAAACTCACCGGGTGAAAACACAGAGATGTGAACAGGTCACATAGGAAATCATGTTAAATGAACTGTACTGCGTTTCTGCAAAACGCTGTGGAAAACGCTTAGGTGTGAACCTATGGTAATACAATAATGAAAATTCCCTCCAATTGTCTTCATGCTCCAAAGCAGAACACAATCATGCTATGGGCCCGGCCGCTAACTAGCTCCTAAGATCTGATCCTTGGTGTTATTATAACGGGGTTGGGAGATATTTCCGAGTTGGTGTTGACCTATCAGTGATTACACTGGGGCTGTGATTAGTGTGTGGATAGGTGCAGGTCCCCCTCTGTTCTATAGGTGGCCCTGTGCCATTATTACAGATGGAGTGGAGTCTGTTAAGGGAAATTTCCCCCTAGGACAGCTTTTCTCAACCCTTTCAACACACTTGAATTAACTTTCTGGTCTGCAGGAATCCCTGCTACAAGTGACTATATCTACAACTCATGATACAATAGTGTGATGGTCAGGAAGAATACTACCTACACTTGTGGTCATTGAGAAGAAGTACTCCCTTGCAGATAGCTAAAAAGACTATTGGTGTCAATGGGAAGTTATCTGAGAG